CTAGATGTGCGGAGTCTCCAGGTTTGAAGGACGTACTGGTGAGTCCAAAGGTACAGGAGCTTTGCCCTGGATATATCATTTCTACCACGGCTTCTGCTCCCGTGTGTGTGGTGCGATGTGTCCTTTTCAGAACTTCCCTCAGTATCTGAGGAGTGACCGTACATTGTCCATTTGGAGTTTCCCCCCGTCCTTCAGAGATCTTAATACACCTCAGAAATCCAGCCAGTTGGTTTTCCTTCTCAGTGTATTCGGGAATCTTGATGTTACAAGTCCTCTCTGGAACCAGGGCTGCTGCTCTGGTGGATGAAGCTGCTCTCTGAGCCGCCTCCTCGGCCTTTTTATTTCCTTTGATACCAGCACTTTGTCCAGATTGCTGTGCTCGGCAGTGCGCCGCTGCCGCCTCCTTTGGCCTGTGACTGATTCGAGCCCCTCAGCATTTCTCTGCTGCACTTTCTGGGGTTTCCTTGTGGGGATAATAATCCTCCCTCTCTCTCCAGATGGTGCCACGTGGACGTGTCACTCCAGAAACGTATCTTGAATCAGTGTAAACGATGTGTTTTCCTTCTGGTATTTCTAAGGCCCGAATTAATGCCATCAGTTCGGCCTTTTGTGCAGAAGGATTTGCGGGTAGGGGGTAGCTCCTGTCTGCTCCTCCAGGGCAGCGACAGCCCAGCCAGCTTTCCCTCTCCCTTGGTCACAAAACCGCTTCTGTCCATCACCAGTTCCCAGTCAGGAGTCTGCAAGGGGACGTCTTTGGAGCCTGCATGCCTGGAATACACTTGTTCGGGGATCTGGGAGTCACTTCTTGGCGATTCTCAGCCGCGTTGGCCCCTGGTGGTGTACCACCTGCGTGCTGGAACGGCGGTTTCTTTACCTCGCCGTTGTTCTAGTTCTTTCACGGGTACGTTACCAAAAATCGTGAAAATTCTTGCCTGCTTGGGGAAGCACTGTCCGGCGTGACTGTGGTTTTTGTCCCGTCGTAGGACTTTCCCCTTCAAAGGCGAACAGCTTCTGGCTTTGCTCTTCTAGAGGGACACAAAAGA